GATAATGGAGGGACGTACATCCCACCAGACAAGCCCGAGTTCTCGGCGGACTGCACCGGTGATGGTACGTCACCGCGGCAGCAGTCCCCTAGTCCCCGAGATTACGGTCACAGTTGGCCGACTCCGGGCCAAAGGGACATACCGCACACGGTTAGCCGTGCGCCGGAGTCCCCTCCAGAATTACAGCCCCCACACGCCAGTCATCACGGCCGTGGTGGGGTGACTACAGACCAGCGGACAATGCCGTGCACGGAGAGCCGTGCACCGGCGTCCCCGCCCGGTATTAGTTTACACCCATCGGTGTCACTAGACTCTGAGCGGGGCTCGATACCGGGACACCGTGACGGCGCTGCTTCGCCCCCGGGGCCTGGTTCCCATTCCCCGGTGACAACTCGCCCCCCGTAATAGATCATGTTTGAAGTTTTGTGTTCGAAAATGCTGGACAAACCAAGAAAAACAAAACTGTTCAAGTAGTCTGTTTCCTTGACGCTACTAAAGATAAAATGGATCAATTTATAGATTCCGGAAAATTGTAGGGTAAGGGAACCAGTCTAGCTGGCCTGCACCCATTCATGAACATGTAACCAATAGCAAACAAAATTTGGACTGAAAAAAGTGTAAAGTTGGAGCAGTAGTTGAACAATTGTTAGGTTTTTCCAACGGTGGTCAGCCGACCACCGTTGGAAATGTATGCAAAAATACCATTTTCTAGAAAATGACTTCACACCAGGTGCCATTATTTTACAGGATGCTTTTAGACTGTCATTTACCAACAACCTAGTAAGGTATTTTGTGAAAACAACTATTAGCATTTTTTAAATAGTAAAAAAGTAAAAGTAAAAAATATTAATGAAACACCTGATTAATTTTAATTGTACATGTATAATAGCAAAATAAAGGGGGAAATGATTTAACTAGGTACATGCAATTAGTATTTAAAAGTTATTGTTGAAGGTACATGTATGTATGCAAATCTCCTATTCAATATGTCATGTACATAATCTGGAGAAAATGTGCATACTTTGTGCATGCGTAATTCCGTTACCGTAATTCCGTTACCGTTTCGTAATTCCGTTACCACTTGGAAAAATGCCAAGAAATCACTATGTCTACATCACTCTACTTACCTGTAGAGCGAATACTACATATGCATTGTTCCCTATGCCGGCAGGCAATTCGCTAAGAGTTTTACATACAATAGCGCCCTCACGTGTCCTACCCACGACGCCCTGTGACATGCGCACTACGTTAGCGTCCTCTTTTTCTCTTAGCCGCAGGCGAGGTATAACGTGGAACTTCAATCGACCTGAATTTCACTATTTTATTGGTACCTCTTTTGCTTGGAGAAAGCTATTTCGAAGAAATAAAGAGAAAGTATTTATTGTAGAGTTGTTCTAGTGAAGGATTTGAGTGAAAGTGAAGTAAGAAATGAGTAAATCTAGGAAGTTGGGGAGGACTGGGTGTGTCGATAATGGAGGGACGTACATCCCACCAGACAAGCCCGAGTTCTCGGCGGACTGCACCGGTGATGGTACGTCACCGCGGCAGCAGTCCCCTAGTCCCCGAGATTACGGTCACAGTTGGCCGACTCCGGGCCAAAGGGACATACCGCACACGGTTAGCCGTGCGCCGGAGTCCCCTCCAGAATTACAGCCCCCACACGCCAGTCATCACGGCCGTGGTGGGGTGACTACAGACCAGCGGACAATGCCGCGCACGGAGAGCCGTGCACCGGCGTCCCCGCCCGGTATTAGTTTACACCCATCGGTGTCACTAGACTCTGAGCGGGGCTCGATACCGGGACACCGTGACGGCGCTGCTTCGCCCCCGGGGCCTGGTTCCCATTCCCCGGTGACAACTCGCCCCCCGTAATAGATCATGTTTGAAGTTTTGTGTTCGAAAATGCTGGACAAACCAAGAAAAACAAAACTGTTCAAGTAGTCTGTTTCCTTGACGCTACTAAAGATAAAATGGATCAATTTATAGATTCCGGAAAATTGTAGGGTAAGGGAACCAGTCTAGCTGGCCTGCACCCATTCATGAACATGTAACCAATAGCAAACAAAATTTGGACTGAAAAAAGTGTAAAGTTGGAGCAGTAGTTGAACAATTGTTAGGTTTTTCCAACGGTGGTCAGCCGACCACCGTTGGAAATGTATGCAAAAATACCATTTTCTAGAAAATGACTTCACACCAGGTGCCATTATTTTACAGGATGCTTTTAGACTGTCATTTACCAACAACCTAGTAAGGTATTTTGTGAAAACAACTATTAGCATTTTTTAAATAGTAAAAAAGTAAAAGTAAAAAATATTAATGAAACACCTGATTAATTTTAATTGTACATGTATAATAGCAAAATAAAGGGGGAAATGATTTAACTAGGTACATGCAATTAGTATTTAAAAGTTATTGTTGAAGGTACATGTATGTATGCAAATCTCCTATTCAATATGTCATGTACATAATCTGGAGAAAATGTGCATACTTTGTGCATGCGTAATTCCGTTACCGTAATTCCGTTACCGTTTCGTAATTCCGTTACCACTTGGAAAAATGCCAAGAAATCACTATGTCTACATCACTCTACTTACCTGTAGAGCGAATACTACATATGCATTGTTCCCTATGCCGGCAGGCAATTCGCTAAGAGTTTTACATACAATAGCGCCCTCACGTGTCCTACCCACGACGCCCTGTGACATGCGCACTACGTTAGCGTCCTCTTTTTCTCTTAGCCGCAGGCGAGGTATAACGTGGAACTTCAATCGACCTGAATTTCACTATTTTATTGGTACCTCTTTTGCTTGGAGAAAGCTATTTCGAAGAAATAAAGAGAAAGTATTTATTGTAGAGTTGTTCTAGTGAAGGATTTGAGTGAAAGTGAAGTAAGAAATGAGTAAATCTAGGAAGTTGGGGAGGACTGGGTGTGTCGATAATGGAGGGACGTACATCCCACCAGACAAGCCCGAGTTCTCGGCGGACTGCACCGGTGATGGTACGTCACCGCGGCAGCAGTTCCCCTAGTCCCCGAGATTACGGTCACAGTTGGCCGACTCCGGGCCAAAGGGACATACCGCACACGGTTAGCCGTGCGCCGGAGTCCCCTCCAGAATTACAGCCCCCACACGCCAGTCATCACGGCCGTGGTGGGGTGACTACAGACCAGCGGACAATGCCGTGCACGGAGAGCCGTGCACCGGCGTCCCCGCCCGGTATTAGTTTACACCCATCGGTGTCACTAGACTCTGAGCGGGGCTCGATACCGGGACACCGTGACGGCGCTGCTTCGCCCCCGGGGCCTGGTTCCCATTCCCCGGTGACAACTCGCCCCCCGGACTCTGACAATTCGGCGGACGAGAGCGAACTGACCCGCACCATGCAACGCCTATCGGTGGCTGAGACCGAACTCCGCTTGGTCCAACGGGATATGATCAGAGTTCTGAATCTTCCTGCTGGTACCGAACCTCCTCCTCCTGAGCGTCAGTCGTTCAAGAAGAGATCGGGACTGACGGCAGAACCGGTCCGGGCTTTTCCCACAATGCCCTTGGACCGCGTGTGCGTTGACCACATCGACGGTATAATGCACGCAAAGACATGGAGTGCCTACGCTAAACGCGTAGACTCATATTATCATTTCCCCCCAGGGGATTTTGAGAAATATTTCTCAACGCCAGTCCTGCCAGACTCGGCCATTGACAAACTCGCCGCTGACCAAGGGACAGCTTCATCCAAGGTTCCTTTTACAGACAAGATCCGTGGAAAGCTGGAGGATGTCACCCGCAGAATGGACTCGGCGGCACGCATGGGTATGCGTGCGACGTCCTTTCTTCTTCTCCTGTCAGAGTACCTGGCACTGGGATATGAAGAAGATTCGGTGATACCAGCCGACATGATGGTGGCTGCTCTCCATTGCCTCGATCGCGGCCTGTGCTCCACTCTCGACCAGTTTGCTAGAGTGTCGACCTTAGCAACATCGTCACGCCGCACCAATGTGCTAGATGCGCTTTTCCTCCCTTCACCGGGAGCACGAAAGCGTCTCGACGATCTCCCGCTCTCAGGCCCGGACTTATTTTCTGGTAAGTTCCAGGAGGCCATGGAGGCCGAGGCAAAGCGCCTCAAGGCCACGGAGAAAATAAATCTCAAGAAACCGGCCGAGCCGAAAACCGCGGACAAGACAAAGAAACAGCCATCTTTTGTCATTCCCCGGCGCCGCCCCCCGGTCAGAGCGGCCCGTGGTGGATTTCGTGGGCGCGCCGATAAGGCGGTCGGCCCGCGCTATTCACAACCACATATTGGACAACAGCGTCCCCAGTCGGGACGCGGTTTCCGTGCGCCCACTCCCCGGTACACCGGGGCGTGGCGCAAGTGACTTATGCGTCTCCGGGCGGCCTCCCACCGCTGGACCCGTGGGAGGCCGCCTTCAGGAGTTCGTGGGGTCCTGGGTGCAGGTGACTTCCGACCGGTGGGTCCTCGAAACAATCAGCAGCGGTTACGCGCTCGAGTTTACGAGGACCCCCCCGTCGGACATGCTTATTCGGACAACGCCCGTACCGCCCGACACAGCAAAACGCCGCTCCCTCGAGGGGGAGATCGACGCCCTCCTTCTAAAGAGAGCAGTTCGTGTTGTCCCCCAAGGGGGGACCCGGGCGGGTTTCATGTCAACCTTCTTCTTGGCCCCCAAGAAGGAGACTGGCGTGTGGCGTCCAATACTGAACTTAAAACCCCTCAACAAGTTCATACGTCCGAAACGTTTCCGCATGGAAACATTACGGACCATTCTTGCATCGATCATAACACCAGCGTGGGCGGCCAGTATAGACTTGAAAGACGCGTACTTTCACGTACCGATCAGGCCGGAACATCGCAAATTCCTACGTTTCCAATACAAAAATACACTGTACTAATTTGTGGTGCTCCCGTTCGGGCTATCCACTTCTCCGCGGGTGTTCACCCGGATCGTGAAGACGATCGGGGCGGCACTGCGGCGTCGAGGGGTCATGATATTCATGTACCTCGACGATTGGCTAGTAGTGGGCCGTTCTCGAGGGGAGATGGAAGCGGCGCTCCAACTAACGTGGCAACTTGCTTCCGACCTGGGATTTCTCATCAACACCAAGAAATCCCATCCAGTCCCCTCTCAGGTTCCCACCTTTCTAGGTGCATCCCTCGATCTTCGCGGGGGACTGGCCCGTCCATCGGAGGACCGCCTGCTGAACCTTCGGCAGTGCGTGTCCCTCTTCCTTCCGACGGTAGTGGCTCCGGCCCGAGCCTGGCTCAGGCTGTTGGGCCTTATGGCCAGTCTGGTGGACTTAGTGGATTTTTGCAGGCTGAGGATGAGGCCAATTCAACTTCACCTGCTGTCTTTCTACAGACCCCGCTGGCACCCGATCGACCATCCGGTGCCCACTATGTCTTGGCTAGTCCCCCACCTTCGTTGGTGGCTAGTCGAGGCCAACATAACGCAGGGCCGCGTTTTCCGCCCGCCCCGCCCGTCGGTACTTATCACAACCGACGCGTCAGGGTACGGCTGGGGGGCTACCCTCCACCCGCGACAGGTCGCGGGTGTATGGGGCCCCGCACATCAGTCATCCCACATCAACATCCTGGAAATGCTGGCAGTCACCAACGCACTAAAACATTTCCAGTCGGACGTCAGAGGGCAAGCAGTCCTGGTACGATGCGACAACGCCACAGTGGTGGCATACATCAATCACCAGGGTGGCACTCGGTCAGGCCATCTGTGTGCACTAACGTGGGACTTCACCCTCTGGTGCATACATCACGGGATAGCCCTGTCGGCAGTCCACATCCCGGGGGAAGAGAACGTCACAGCCGACGCTCTCTCCAGAGGCTGGATCGCCCCGACAGAGTGGTCACTGCTCCCACAGGTGGCTCAGTCGATCTTCAGACTAATCGACCGGCCGCATGTGGACCTATTCGCGTCGCGAATGAACAATCAGCTACCGATCTACTGCACGAGGGGCCCAGATCCCAACGCGTGGCAGACCGATGCACTGTCGGTGCGGTGGGACGGCCTACTGGCCTATGCCTTCCCACCCATCTCCCTCGTTTCTCGAGTGCTGACCAAGATCGAGCAGGAGGATTGCCGAATTCTCCTCATAGCCCCGTTCTGGCCCCGCCAGCCGTGTTTTCCCCGGCTCGTCCGACTCTTGGTTCACCGCCCGGTAATTCTACCGAGGAGGGCCGATCTCCTTTATCAGCCCAGCTCGGGAATCAATCACCAGGCTCCGGGGGATCTTCACCTGACGTGCTGGGTATTGTCACGCGATCCCTCTGCTCAGCAGGCCTTTCGCGACGAGCTGCAACAATTGCAGCCCAGTCCCGTAGAGCCTCAACCAGAAAGGTGTACGATAGCCGACTACGCCATTTCTTTAAATGGTGTAGACGGCAATCCATTCATCCCCCCAATACTTCTGTAGGGGAAGTGGGGGATTTCCTCCTATACCTTTTTAACAGTGGGCTCACGACGGCCACGGTCAAAAATTATCGATCGGCCGTTGCCGCGATCCATCAGGGATTTTCGTACGGTTCCTCCGTTTCCGGCAACCCTGCAATTAGCCAACTGATCAAGGGGATGTTTAATACTCGTCCCCCAGTACGCACATTAATCCCATCTTGGGACCTCTTCGGTGTATTATCTACACTGGCGAAGGCTCCCTTTGAATCGATGAATTGCTCAACTTTGTTACAGCTCTCCATCAAAGTAGCTTTTCTATTGGCTGTTGCTATGTCCCGACGACGTAGCGAACTACACTCGTTATCGATACAGACAGGACACATCCGGTGGGAACCGGGGGGTGTCCGCCTGATCCCTACGGCCGGTTTTCTCGCAAAGAACCAGTCGGAGACCTTTATGCCCCCGGACATCTTTGTCCCGGACATCAAGTCTTTTTCGAACGAGGCAAACGACAAACTTTGGTGCCCAGTTCGAGCACTTAAGTGGTATGTCAACCGTACGAAGTCACTTCGTACGGGACACGAAAAATTGTTCATCACGACGACCCCGCCCCATGGGCCGGCGTCCCGCAATACAATCACTCGCTGGATCGTGACAGCTATCCGGTCCGTACCGGGTGGCTGGCCAGCGACCCAGGGACCCATTCGAGCGCATGAGGTCAGGGGAGTGTCCACCTCGTGGGCCTTTTTTAAGGGTGTCCCCCTAGGTGACATCGTCAAGGCAGCCTGCTGGAAGAACCCTAACACGTTCTCCGAATGCTACCTGAAGGATGTCCTCCAGGCAGATGGCAAGGCTGGAAGAGAAGTGCTGCTAGCGGCCAGTCGAGCCTCACGGAAGCACTAACGGGTGAGCATATAAATATACATATATATATTTGTATGGGCATTAAGTTTACTTAGGTGTACCTATCATGTGTTCATTCCCATAGTGGTTACACCCCCCTGACTTTTTGCGCACTAGCTCTTTGGGTTCCCCTGACGAGGTGAAACCTAGAGCGTCTGGGGTGTAGGTTTTTGGTTTGGTGTTGTCTGCCTTTGGACACGCCTCATGTCCTACACCCCTGTAGACATACGGTAATTTGCGTATACCCACCGCCTTACTCGGTGCGAGTCTATGCATATGTAGTATTCGCTCTACAGGTAAGTAAAGTGATGTAGACTCCCCCCCCCCCCCCCACAGTAGTGTGGTTGGGGTCTACGAGCGAATACTTACCTGTAGAGCACCCCTCCCTCCTTCCCCACTATACTCGATTCCTTGAGTGCTTACGCAAGTAACGCTTGAGAAAAAGAGGACGCTAACGTAGTGCGCATGTCACAGGGCGTCGTGGGTAGGACACGTGAGGGCGCTATTGTATGTAAAACTCTTAGCGAATTGCCTGCCGGCATAGGGAACAATGCATATGTAGTATTCGCTCTACAGGTAAGTATTCGCTCGTAGACCCCAACCACACTACTGTGGGGGGGGATTTAAAGTTTTTATTTTTCATTTATGTTTATAGTAGGGTCTTTTCTCAACATACATGATTTGAAGAAATAAAACGAGAAAATTTGTGAAATAAGTAACTTTTGCCATTTTTTTGGTAACAGAATTACGTGCTAATTTTGACATTTTTAAATGAAGGCCTACACTATAACCTATATATATATTTATATACATAGATTTCTTTTAATGACCCTGAGTAATGTTAGTAACTTGTAACATTATAAAATAAATCAAACCTTTTCCCTGTAATTCAGAAAGTAATACATACACAAAATTTTACTTTTTTTACCAAATCTGAACGTTTTGATCATCAATTGCAAAAATCACTGTTTTTACCAGAAATATATATTTTTTTTCAATTTCGTTTTTTGAACTGAATTCCCCATTTAATTTAGGTCTGGAAAAAGTACAAAAAAGGTTTAATATGAAAATATTTATTTTTGACATTTTTTGCTCTCCCATGGAGAATTGCCCATATTTATTAATTAATAATTTGTAAAGGAGGCGATACAGCAAATTTTTACTGTACACCATAATGGATAGGAACCTTATAAATTAATATTCGTGCGGCTTGAGAAGATTGACAGATATTGCAAACACCATGTGTTACAGCTTTGAAAAATGGACGTACCCAAGCCTGTTTTTCCAATTTCAACAAAAAATACTGAATTTATCAAAACGATTTTTAGCACATAGTGTGATCATTATAAGGGAAACAAACCCTGAAAGTTGTATGAAGATACGGTCTTCCAAACGGGAGAAATTGATTTTCAAAGTTTCGCCGGCAAACATCCACATGTCTGTGTGCATGTTGTTTCATTTAAAATAAAGTATTACGTAACCTTTAGAAATCGGCCTTCGCAAACACATGGCTTCTATAGTGCTGTGTAGTTAGTTCCAGCATGGATCACACCATTTGCGGTCTGGGGGTGAACCATGTTCGTTTTTAAGAATTATTTACAAGCATTTCCACCGTTTTTAACTGACAAATAATACTTTTTAGAAAGTTCCTAATATTTTCTTGGTCGAAAATAAGTCTTCAACATCACAATATATTTTTGGTAAAGAATCTAAATCGAGAAACGATGCAAAACTCCAAAAGAAGGGTTAAAGCACCCCTTACGGTATCAATGGATGATCCGTCCCTATCATGGCGACTGCCAAATTTTTTCGAGGAAATTCGAAAAGTTTGACATAACTAGATAGTTATTGAAAAAAACAATTTGATAAGTTTGGTAGTAAAAAGAGACCTGTTTGTTCTTAGGGCATGCTCTGACAATGGGGGAACATTTGATCATAGTTCACCGGCGCTGCGCAGGCCGGGATATACCGCTAGGTAGCAATTCTTGATGTTTATTTCTCAATGTCATCATCTACTACATGTACAATTATTTACGGTACAATTTTTTACATAACAAAATAGAGATTCCTCCTTCAAATTGTGCTGTAGTAGATGGAAATTGCAATTGCCGATGACTTTTTCTGTTAGAGACCTGTGCAACCATGTATGATATGAATCTTATGATTGTTTTACAATTTGTCTTGCCGGTGATCTGCCGGTGTTTTATTTACAAAAATAAAATCAAAACTACCTATCCTTGAAATAGAAACTGGACTTAATTAGAAATTTAAAACCAAGACAATTTTTGGAAAAATATAAGGGCCCAAAAAACCTGGAAATTACATGCCAAAAAAAGAAATGCATCGAACGTGCCTCACCTCTCACATTACGATGTATGGTGTTAACACAAATTTCTTTTCTTACTACCTATAAAACTAACCATAAAACTACCGATTATGCATAATATTTTGCGCTTTTCATTACAACGTACAAGTTTACAAACTCTGTTTCATATCGTTGTACATGCCCTTTCGAACTAAATTTACTTTGTAAACTATAACAATGTAACTAAGAGGACAGTCTCTCGTTACGTTGTGAATCCACTGCTGTTCCAGAGGCTCACAGCGCAACATTAGGATTATGCGCATGCCGCAGTTTTTCCGGGCTGTGCCACAGAATGAGTATTCACGAACTCGTTCATAAAAACAAATCGCTGGGAACGGCCTTCCAAAAAAATGCTCATGATGCATGAAATATTTACGGAAACCATCAGAATTGTCCCAAAGTAGGTTCAAGAATAAATACCGGTAACTTGAGGCCAATTCTGGCATGACAGACGGGACAGATTTACACTACCTTTTTTGTCAAAGGCCTGCCACAACCAATATGTAAGGTGTAACCATCTAATTTATGTATAAAGTCAAAGTAAACACTCTACAGGGTGGATACAAACAAACGAAACCGAGATATTATTGCTACTTGGAACAGAAGTAGGGCACATGTGAATCAAAGGGAGATATCCTCTTTAGGGTTGAATCTCCTCTTTAAAGTACCGGTACGGTCAACTTAAGTTAAGACCTACCGTACATGTAGAACAAATTGCAATAGAAACCATTCACGACTTAACATAAATACACAAACAACATGTGAAAAATCTAATTGTTTCTGAAAAATCTAATTGTTTCTGTGGAGTGGAAGGGTGTTTTTTTTTCAAGCATTTTTTCAGATAAAAATTTTGGACATTTTGTCCTTGAACAATTCATCTGGTGACTTGGTGCGATTTACATGTCTATATACATGTAAGCTAATGTTTAGGATTCATGACCACAGGCGAGTGCTGCAGACGACTGTTTCAAATGATAAGTTTATACAGGGCACTACGGATGGAGTGGACAAATTTCCGCCTAAACTTTGCGCAATAAGTCCACAGACAAGATACAATTATTTGCAAACAGGGCTAGGGATGTCTAAACATCATTTTGATCATACACAGATGGAAAATGGTTGGACAGTGCATACATGGACCGTTTTAAAAGTAAAGCGAAAATCTTTAATAAAATATTATTGATTGAGCGCCTGAAAATGATGTGTTGGATTTGGTTTAGAAAATTCAGGAATTACTGTGCTCAGGTTGTGAAGCTTTATACAGTGCATTTTGTTAGTACAGTAAACTCCGGCTAAACTGACATCGTACAACTTGTCAAATCGCTCAAGTCGGCCGTCTGACTAAAGTCCCGATTGTCTGTAATGCATTTCCATTGAATTTTTTTATTTCTAAGTCGGCTTTTAGAAGTCGCCATTTCGCTCAAGTCGTCGTGTTACTCTTGGTCCCCTTTCCATTAAAAGCATTACAAAATCCTGTGTGTAAGTCGGCATTCAACAAATCACGCATTGGCATCGACTTCCTGTACTGCGGTTGGCAAAGTGTCGAGTGAAAAGTGGTTTCGCACGGCCCGTGATCGCTGCATGCATCGGTGTCGAAAAAGGGTGTCCTACTGCATACCACTACGCGACGCTATAGGATCTTTGCTGCATACATCGCATGTATGCATCGTGAGCATATCAATACCAGTACCCCCTCTAGGCTGGACGCATGCGCTCTGTCCATTTTGGGGGTTTTCTTATTGAATGACTACTGC